ACGCTGCGGCCTCCTAGTCCAAGACTACGTCGATAACACACGAAGAAATTTCATGGAATATCCACGAATTGCGCCGCATTATTTTTCGTAGGTATTGCAACGAATGCTGGATTAGATCAGCCTGTAATGTAAACAATTCATATGCTTATGGTGACAATTTCACACATGACAGTTTGGACAGACATGGACGTAAACTGTAACATGACTGGTTGGCTGCGGTATACAACCGTGAATTCTAGATGTTGAAATTGTTTTAGAGAAGTGTTGATTCAGCCCTATGATCCTTTTTTAGGAGGTACAGGTGGTTTGGTACTAACATGGGTTTTAAAAAAAGCCAGGAGTTGTAGTCATCATGCTTGCAGTTTCAATAGGTATACACTAGCCTTTTTTATCCAGAGAAAGATGACACATGATCTTGGGAGCCGCCGATCTTTTATCGTGGTCCAACGAATGCTTGGCGGGGTTAAACAGGCAACCAAGGGCACCTCTGTTGCAGTTTTCTAGGGAGGGGAGAGCATTACGCACTCTCGAATGGCATTTTCCTGACCTGGTGTTTGAAAGTGGCAATTCTCTGTTCTATAGCTATTTACCAGTAATGTAAAATCATTGGGACAGCTTGCTCATTATTTCTTCACATCAAGCTTTGTGGGAGGATTTAAATGCTCAGCAGTGCTCAAGGTGTCCCTTTAAAACCCCTTGCGTGCTGATTTCCTCAGTGTTTTGAACACTTAACACGGTTTGAAATTCAAGATTTTTACTGGTTTGTTTGCGGAGCATGGCCCAGAAACAAAACATGTGATTAGAGTGTCCGTTTGCATGAGCCGTATCATTGAATCTGAGGTGAAGGTTAAGAGGGGAAGAAAAGATCACCTCCATCTTATCCGAGTAGCTGAAGTCTTTCGCTGCTGTAACAAAAATTAATAAACCGAGTCAGGAATCCCACTGTGAACCAAAATGCATCCATAATTTAAAACCCCTCCTGCATGTGGGAGTGCAGCTTCAGAGTAACAGTTGGATGTGTGTGGGTGGGTAATACATTGTACTGTATTTTTTTTTTTCGACAGCTGAGGAAGAGAAGAAGGAGCAAAGGGGAAAGTGCAGAGAAAATAGAGTGAGTGCGCTTCTGTGTCCCAAGAGATAATGTTTTTTTTGGGAGGGGGGGAGGTCACTGTATCTTACAAGGGATCATCTAACAATACTGTGAGCTAGTGAAACTGATACGAGAGGCCGAGATGCGAAGAAGAAAGGAAAGAACAGGAGATAAGGAGGTTTGCTCTGCACTCAATTCTATTTCAAATGACTGGCTGAAAACCAACTTCTATCGTAGCTGCATTTGTGTATTAATGATATGAAAAATAACAATGATCAACACTTTTAACTTCCTCACTTGAAATCAACCCATTCGTTTGCACAAAAAGCCAACCTTTGTAATCAAGCTTTATTTGCAGTAGTAATGATTTTGTATAACGTCTCTAATGAGCGCCCCATTAGGAAAAACAAAGCCGCCCTGTGCAATACCTGCCGCCCGCCACAGTTAATGGCAGGGGGCCCCTGCTGAATATGAATGAGGGGTTCGTAGACGGACAGGTTTGGGTCGATTGGTGGGAGCCTGGTGAAGCCCTCCTCTTGGCCCGGTGCGATGTAATGAACAGCGCGGAGCTGTCGGCTGTGCCGTCTGCTCAGGCGGCAAGCAGCGCTTTTTGCTCTGCTGAAGGACAAGTCGTGAAACCCAGATAAGTGTGGCCCTCATGTTTGCGGAGGCTCTGTGTCACGGAAATGCGGCAAAAGTCGGATTTTGTGATGTAAACGATGGTGCTTTTGTCCGTGCTGGTGTTCCATTTTCATACCTACTCTTCATCATAGGTCAAGCAGCAGATCCCAGCGTGCAAGGCAGGGAGACATAACAAGCATAACACAGAGCTGATGCACATGAAAACTCATTCAGCGAAAGCACAATCTAAATTGAATTCACCAGCCGTTGATTTAATTGACGACAAGGGCAAGACCTCTTTGCTTCCTGTCTCAAATTGATCCCCTCTCATTCCCAAACTGATTAAACTTGAACTGCAAAATACTAAAACTTACCAAAGCCATTTTGAGAGAGAGAGAGAGGGAATCAACTTTAGTTCAGGAGGTGTTAATTGATCATGTAAAGGGTGAAGTTATCGATCAATTGGCCTCAGGGTACCAGCTACCATACCTAGATGGTCTGTATTTGCTGATAAAAATCTCCAACACTGCTGTCTTTTCCTGAAATGTAAAATCTGTATACATCACTGTGACTGGGATCCTTTTTATTTGGGCTGACGTGAGGCTAGAGGTTGGTTGACGGAACAGATGCAAGTGATTGGAAAAAACATCTTTACTGACACTGATACCTGATCTGCTTAATAAGCTTAGTAATGGCACCCATACAGAGCCAGCGTATGAGGTAATAACAGACAGTTTTTGATAAAACGGTGGAAAACTCAACTTGCTCACCGCCCTGCCCTTATATATGGTATTTCCAGTTTCACCTGCATTTTAACGCAGCTAAATTTCCCCTTGCCAAGTCTGGTTTGGCTGCACCTCCATGCTCACACCTGTAGGGGATTAAGATTGTGCACCTCCAGAGTCCCTGAAGCAAATGCTGCAAATGCAAAAAAAAAAAGAGCTAAGATTTGTACCCAGTGAGGCAGCAGTGCTCACACTCTATCTTTCTCCTGGCTCTCAGTGAGGCCATAGTTCCTGGAGTGTGTAACCTTCCCCTCCACAGTGTTGGGAGGAAATAGTCCTGGTTAAGTGGTCCTCTAGGTAGCGTGGCTGCAGTGCGCCTGAGTGAAAAGCTGGTAAGTTATGCATCAAGTGCTGTTTAAAGCAATAAGGCCCAGTGGAATTTGAAACAATGGCTCCTTCCAGGTGGTGGTGAGCTGTGGGAGGAGTTGGGCAGGGGGGGGGGGGAGGAATTGGATGAGACAGAAAGCTTGTCTGGTTGCCTGGCTGTTAGCATTGGACTTGGCAGCTCTCTGCCAGGGAAACGCTGACAGGCAGGCGCGCCTGTCACAGCGCATAAGTGCCTCCTTGCTCAACCCCGAGCCCTGTGAGGCAGGTCAGCTCTCCTGCGCTCGGCTCACACGCCCAGTCCCACACTCAAGCCACGGGATGGTAGAGTGCAGCGGGGGCGTGTGTCAAAGCCTTTATGTGGTTGAGAGACTCTGAAAGGTGAGACAAAGGCCACTGGTGACATCGTAGAAATGAGTTAGACTTTGCTTAATAAGAGGGACTTCTGTGATTAAATTGTACTTCTGCATGGAGAGACATAATTAACTCGAGTACAGTTATTTTTACGAATGACACCCAAATCAATGATCCTCTTCAAATATCATTTCCTGACAGTTTCTAAACAAAGATGTTTATGTATCAGTTTCTAAAGAGTGGGACTCACAAACCAGCTCATTGTCTAAAAATGATGTCTTTCTTTTACAATGGTGGACCATTTTGGAAATAAACTGCTATTTTTTAACTGTTGCCGTGGTATTTTACTGTTCAAACTCTCTGCAGATTAAGTAAGACGGAAATGTCACAAGATGATATTTCCAGAACAGAACAGACTTTTTTTTCTGATCGGCAACATTTTACAGAAAATGCTGCAAAGAGAAAAAAAAGTGACGCCTCCCCGCTGCAATAAAAGCCATGGAATACCACATTTCCTTGACAACTTACCTTTTTCCGTTTTACACCATTAGCTGTAAGTACAGCAAATGCCATCTACAGTAAGCCATGCAGGAATGCACAATCTCACTGGTTGGTAAGATCACTACTCTGCGGTGTTAAGATCCCATCACAGTGTGTTAAAGGGACTTCCATAGAAGAAGACCAGATGTGAAAATGCATTGAAATTATTCAACATCATAAGTGACGAGTGATATGTGCTGCCTTATGCATTCAGAACAGCACTCTATACTGTGTGTGTGTGTGTCTGTGTGTGTGTTTGTTCCCAGGCAGAGAACATCTTCGTATGTTGAGATGACCTTACTGTGGCCTTTGCTGTGGAAGCTGGATGTTTGCATAGCCTGGCCCTGTTGTTTTGACTAGCACAGTGTAAGCAACAGCTCTCCCAGCGTGTTATCCTCGTGAAGTTATCTGAAGACTTTTGTTGTTTTAATTGATTCTGTGACATTTATAATAAAAAAAATTAAAAAGCTCTACTATATTATTATATTGTGCTATTTCAGCTCGTGGCTTCTTGCTGCAGAGCAGGAGAACATTTTTACATATGATATTACTTGGTTAAAATGAAGGCAAACCGTTTGACAAGAACATATTGGAGGCAAGAAAACAGCAGATATTACAATATTCAACTCGTGATAAAAGATGAAACGTTAAGAAGCCGAGAGAGGTTTGAATTTTCCCATGGCGGTGAAGGGATCTTCAGCAACATTATACATCTAATTTAATGATCTAAATCCTTCTCCCTGCGTTTGCTGCATTTCACTGCCCCTCGTATTGATCTTTCTTGGCATGTATAGGAAATCAAAGTCACCTAGCAGTGAGAACTCATCTGATTTCCTGCAATAAATTTGTCTTTATAAGTCTCCAAATGCCTTGATTTCAAAACTCCGCTAGGTATCGATTCGAGTGTGGATTTTGACCCGATAAAGGAAGACAGAGCACCGGCCTTGTCTCCTGGCCTACAGCCATGCTTGCATATCTCAGACACATTTTCTAACGAGCTGTCTGGCTAAATGTTTTTCAGCTGGAGAAATTACACTTCCAATTGAAAGTGACTTTATAGAGTTAGAGGAGAAAGCAGATGGGAAGAGGGAAGAAAAGAGATTCAAAGAAAGATGAATTGAGATTGATACACTTATAACAGACATGGATTGTATTTATGGCTGGATTGCTTTTTCAGGGGAATGAGGAAAGTGCCATTTCAGTATGATAGAGACATTCATTCTGAATTATATGCCTGAAATCTGAAAGCCTTTTCTTCTTTCTTGTGTCTTTGTTCATCCCTACAGATGTGCTGTGGACTGCCGATGATTTCTCCTCCTCCTCCTCCGGCTCAAATTCATTGGCAGACAAAGACTGCACTTCTCACTGCTCTTGTTATCACTGAGCTCAGGAAGACGGATCTGGTCCACAGCTAAACCATTGTCTCCTTTACTTGCTTCTGTCTTCTGTCCACTCTTCGTACCATCACCATGGCTTGTTTCTTGGCATCCGCCTTTCTTCTGGTTCTCCAGACAAACGCTGCCCCGCCTGAGCTCGTCCAGGAAGGATTTGGCATAACACTGGACCCCATGGACCTTGATGCTGGACTACCAGTCAACGTCTCTGGAGATGTACCCTCATCTCCGCCCCCAGGGACTAGTAAAAGAGCCCCACACAGCATCATTATTGGGGTGCGCAAGGGCGGCACAAGAGCACTGTTGGAGATGCTGGACATTCATCCGGAGGTTGCCGCTGCTGCCACCGAGGTGCACTTCTTTGACTGGGATGAGAACTACGCCAAGGGCTTCGAGTGGTACCGTGACCTGATGCCGTACTCGTACCCGCACCAGATCACAGTGGAGAAAACGCCAGGCTACTTCACGTCACCCCTCGCACCAGAACGCATCTGTGCCATGAACTCGTCCATAAAGCTGCTGCTGATCTTGCGAGACCCGGCCGAGCGTGTCATCTCCGACTACACCCAGGTGTACTTCAACCGGCTGGAGAACCACAAGCCGGTGCAAGCCATCGAGAATCTGCTGGTGCGCAATGGGGCCCTGAATATCCGGTACAAGGCAATTCAGAGGAGCCTGTATGACGTCCACATGCGCAACTGGCTGCGCCACTTCCCCCTGGAACAGATACACATCGTAGATGGGGACGCTCTGATCCGAGACCCCTTGCCAGAGCTTCAGAAGGTGGAGTGCTTCCTTAATTTGCCCCCAAGGATAGTATCCTCCAACTTCTACTTCAACCAGACCAAGGGGTTTTACTGTATCCGAAGCGATGGCCGAGAGCGCTGTCTGCATGAGTCTAAGGGGCGTCCGCACCCGGCTGTCAACAGCACCGTCCTCCAGCAGCTCCGCTCCTTCCTACAGGAACACAACCGAACCTTCTTCAGGCTGGTGAAGCGCACCTTCGACTGGCAATAAGGAACCCAGATCGGACACAAGGGGAGCCCCTTCCTTGTCTTGGATGAGGACAGACAGAGAGGGGGCATAAAGCACTTTACAGAACTGACATCTAAAAAGCCCTTTCAATAGCCTCTTAATAACTACTGCTGTGATCTCTGGTTTCAGCAGAGCAGTTATATATTTACACGATAAGGCAAAAAAAAAAACATGAAAAACTGTAACTAGAGGCGTAAGATTAAATGGAAGAATCTCTAAGCTTAATAAGTCATTCTGTCTGTGCTGGAAGCGTTTAAGTGATCTAAATTGCAGTGAAAACACATTCATGGAACTTTTTTCCCTCTCGCTCTCTCTTGTTTGATATTCTTGTTCTTGATAATAAATTGTTCTGCCTTCAAATGTACCAGAAAAGTGGCATCTCCGTTTCATTCTGGCAATCAAAAGCCCCGGAGCCCTCTCACCTGTGTTATTTAGGGAGTATACTTAGATAGGCAGTGGCATTAGAATAAGCCTTTGATTTGCTGTGGTGGAAGGTAGACATTAATGCAAGGCAATGGGTACCCTGGAGCGGCGCTTTAGTAGTACAGGAATCACTAATGGCTTTGGACATTGAAGGTAGCCTGTGCCTGCAGCTAAATCAGTCAAATCTCCATAGTCAGCAAGCTCAGATCCAGGGAGCTGCTGATGCATTTTGCTCTGTTCAACAATTTACTCAGGTGTTAAATGTAGTCATTAAATCATATGCCGTAAAACATTTACAAATCCTACAGCTTCTGTGCAAATGTGTTTTTTTACCCACGTATTCTCTCTTTCCTGAATCGTACTTCCCACGCAGTTTTCCCAGAAACATCTTGTCATCCCATACACAACAGATAGACGCGGGTCATGTTTCTTTCATTGAATGGGCTTTAAACAGCAGCCAAAGCTACAGCTCCACTGGGATCTGATATTCATGTGATCTCCCTACTCCGTCTGCTGGAATAAGCACTATAACTCTCCCGAGGCAAGTAGTCGCTGATGCCACGCTGGATCTATATCCAGAACAGAACATGGGAGCGGGCATATAGCTGAGGGCTATATGGAAATATGTTGAATATTTATATGAATAGTGTAGTACATTGGCAACTTGGGGTTTAAAATTTGAATTAGACTGTAAAATTGCGTGTGTACTCAAGTTCTTTGTGATGACAAAGGCAGTGCTAAATCCCCCATAACTCATCTCACTCAAGGACTTTTCTCGCTTCTGCTCACCAGGAGGCACTTGGACTCCAGAGTTACTCTTGAGGGAACAGCGTGAGGAAACGTGTCTAGACGTGCTCGTTCTAGGATCCCCCGGTGCACACACAGGTGAGGGGCCTGCGACAGTTACCTCCCGACCCTGGCAGACGCCTGTCGGCTCCGGCATGTATCACCCAGCCATTCATCTGGAAGAGAGCGGCACAAGCGGCCTCGCTCCACCTGCCACAACACACACACACATACGCACACAAGCGTTCCCAATCATTCCCAAGGTGTTACATTGGCGCAGCACAGTGTTCCCATTAAGCAAGTGGGCAGGAAGGACAGAAGGGCATGTTTTGCTTACAATATGAGAGTACACACTGAACAAATTCCCTTTACTCATTTGAGGCAAAGTTGACTTGAGTATGTTTGCTGTTTTGCAGAAACACTCGCAGCTGCGTAGTGCATCTGTGGCTGTCTAATGTTGCACTCAGCAATGGGTTGTTTAAGGTGAAGGATACCTTTTAAACACCAAATCCCCTGAAGCCCATTGCAACAATATGACTCTTTCATGGAGTTCTTCAGGCCTTAATACAGTATTCAAGCTGTGACTATAGACCGTCTTTTTTGTAGGATAATCCATGTTCATGGGATTCGTTGCTGATAATAAAATGCTAAAATAATACCACCACCGCAAATGTATCCTATTCTTACTGTTTATTTATCAAGACCACAATGGAGATGCTGGTCGTTTTTGGGTTATCCTTGAACATGAGTCTACCGTGAGGCTGTACTAGCTAAATGCTAACATCAGCATGCTAACATGCTCACAAGGCTAACGTGCTGACATGTTTACCTTTTTACCCTTTTACCATGTTCACAGTTTTAGTTTTAGTTACTTTAGCCTGTTAACATACACAAGTTTAGTTCAGTTTAGCAGTTTAGGCTGAGGCTGATCGAAATGTCATTTGTTTGGCAGGTATTACCAAAGTATAGGAGGAATTCAAATGTTTGCCTGATGGTGGGGCTATATGGAAAATAAAGGGATCGCCAAAGCTGTCACAAGTCAGGGAAATTCAATTTCTGCACTAAATTTTATGGTAAGGATCCAACCGTTGAATCAAGAAAATTTCACTCAATACCGCAAAAGTCAACCTCATGGGAGCGCGAGAGGAAAAGTCAGGGGATTGCCAAACTTACAAAGATATGTCAATCTAAAACAAAGTGGTGGACCAACTGAAAACAAGCTGATTTGTAAATCTTCCTTTTTACTAAACTAAACTAAACTGAAGTCAGCAATCCCGTCATCCTCTTCTTTTTTTTTTTTTAAAGGGACAATGTGTGTTTGGCGGCATCTAGTGGTTTGGTTGTCAATTGCAATCAAATAAATTCCCCTCCGCTCACTCCTCCCGTTCCAAAACTGTGGTAAAGCAGTTCGCCTCATTCAGAGGCTATCCTTATGATAACAACACTATTTTAGGAGCAACAGAAGTCAGGCGGCGGCTGGCGTTACCATGGTTTTACTGCTGGTCACGCTACCGTAGTTCTACCAGCGCGTCGGAGAACTACGGTGGCCTTCGGGTAACTTAATAACATAAAAAGGCTCTCTGATTATACCGTATTAAAAGCATATTATGAATATTGTATTCCATTTCTGCTAATAGATTATTGCTTAAAAGCATGTTGACAGGGGATTCAATCGAGCAACCATCTGGTTACACAGTCTGCCACCTTAAATCTGAGGCCCAAAAGAGAGCTTTCTTTAAAAAACTGCAATGTAATGTGCAGCACAGTTTGCTCAAGGGCCAACAGTATTTTTAGTACATTTTATTTTTGTTACACAGAAAAAGCACATGTTGCTTTGGTTCTGACATACTATAAAGCAAGGCAAGTCATTTAAAACCCGCGACACTAACAAGTTGCTTTAACTAATGGCTACAGTGAGTCACTTATCACTGCATGTCTTTGATAACTGCCAACCTCGGGCGTAATTAAAGGTTTGAGGGGTGGTCTGGAGCAATCTGCTGTAGATGTTTTGGCTGCTCCTGTCATCCTAGAAGCCTCTAATGATCTGTCTGGGATTGTGATTGATGAAGCACTTAGCATCGAATCAAAGCACAAGGAACGCTTGCTGCTTGCTAAGCTGTTTGCAAACTAACAGCAACTGTGTTTGCACGATACGACTCTATTATGGCAGTGTCCTTGATGTGAATTAACGACCTCGGTGTCAACATTGGAAGCAGAACCAAATGCACATTACGAGTTGACTGACATGGCTCAGCAGGAATACATAAGCTATAAACAGCGTGGGTCAGTGAATCGGGCTGCGTCTCAATAACATGAAGGAGTTGGCTTCTTCTTCCTTTTTCATTCCACACAGCCGTGCACACCTGGATGAAGCCTCATCACTAAGAAGCTATTTCTAAAACCATCAAGGTGGCTCCTTTGCGGCCTGAAAAAGAAAAATGCTTTAATTCAATGCTTGCAGTCAAGACATCACCCAGCAGCAACGGAGTGGTTATAGCTCAAATGCAAGAAGCCTGCGGGGAGTGATGCATACAATATCGCCAACAATATTGTACACTAATCCAACCCACTGAAGCCTTTTTACATCTGGCTCGATCAGAAAAAGAACAATGAACATAAATCTAATGAGATCAGGGACCCGGAAACCGACATGTTTCCCAAAATACACATTGGATTATCACAAACACAAAAGGCTCAGAAACAGATAAATGTGTTTTCACACATATTTTACCGCCTCCTTGTTTCTTTTTTTCCCCCTTTGTGATTACTTATTCATTTGTTTGTTGATTTATTTTTCATTGCCTCGGGTGCAAGAGGGCATGTGTTTGATGTGCTCTCACGGCAGTCTTTACAAAAGGGGAAGGAGGGCTTCTGCTGCTGCATTCAGGTCAAAGGGAGGAGAAAGAGACACGTCTTCATATTCGCGGCTGCATTTTAAAAGCCTCTGATTAATCCTTTGAGGTGATGGAAAATAAAAAAAAGGTGAGATCATGGCTAGGAATGCAGAGCTCATTGTAAAAACTGTCTGTGTCGGCATGTGTGAGTGGTGCCGAGAGGAAGCACATCTTCCACATGCTAGCTGACCTCTTGCTGTTCTGTAGGAGAAGCAATGGTAATAGAGAGGCACTGGTGCAGCGTTTCAGAGCTCTTTTTGCACTGCAAAAATGCCTTATCATGTGCAAACATTTTAGATATAAGCTTTGTAATGCTTGAAACAGGAAAATCAACTGTTCACTCGATGATTTTTTTTTAAAATTAGTCAGGATCATAGACTGAATATATGAATGGACAACCTACCTCCACTTCCTCCCGCTGTGCAAAAATGATTCCAAAATATCCCGGATACGGGAGCGGCCATCTTCAGATTTTGACCTCATTTGGGGCAAGAGTCTGCACAGTGGGGCCGTGGCATCAAGGTCTCACCCATACACCTGCCCAAGCCAATCAGGAGACTAGCAGGGCCACAGCTTGTTAGTGTGAGAGCCACCGAGCTGCTCTGTTACTTAGCATCATGGTCGCTGTTTGGCTAGAAAGACAACAACTAACCAAGATATCTCTAAGAATATATCTATGATCAAATGAGCCCATATAATGTATAAGAAGTGAACAAAGTCACCGTGACGTCACCAATTGGTTTGCGGACTGCTGTTTTGAAGCCTCGCGTTCAGTATTTTGGCCTTCACCATCTTGCCTTTTTGTAGTGACTCGAGTTGGTGGAGCTCAGCACAATTGAACGCCGAATTTTTTAGGTGACCACAATGTTATAATTCACTTTTAGGAACTGAAAACCCACTGTGACAGGGTTAAAGTTGTAATATGAAAACACGGACAACTCCCAGACCGGACAACTGTTGTGGTAGCGACCTGTCAATCACAAGGTAGCCCCGCCCTAAAGCATACCCTGATTTATGGTCTATTTTAATGGGACCATAATTTACAAAATGAACATCATGCTGAATTAAAAAAAGACTAGAAACTAGCAATTGAGACCGTAAACTCATGTTTCAATGTTTACTGAGGGAATAAATTAAGCAGAGTCATTTTCTCATAAACTATATGTATATACCGTATATATACATATATACATCCCCATCAGTAGAAAAAGATGTTGGAAAATATCTGATTCTTGAACACA